CTTCTTCTTCTTCTTCTTCTTCTTCTTCTTCTTCTTCTTTTTCTTCTTCTTCTTCTTCTTCTTCTTCTCATTTCCTTCCCCTTTTCCTTTTCTTTTCGCTTCCCCTTCTCCATCATCTTTGAAAAGCCTACCCTTGTTATTTACGAAAGCCATAAATACGAATTTAGGTTAATGTTACTGTAACTTTCTCTTTATCCGTCTCCCTCAATTAACATATTATTATCATAATGCAGTGCACGTCATAGTTTCCCCTAACAAAACCCAGAATATGTCTCTATGCTGTTCACGTACTCACTTGGGTCACGCCGGACCAGACGCCTGGCGATTACGCCAAGCACAGGTCATGTTACCCGTCGAGTTTTTTTATAATTCAAGATAGGTGTTTTCAGGACAACTTGGACACAAATTATACCATTTAGGAGACGAGATTTGATCCCGACTGTCAGGGCCAATATGGGTTGAGAATACATCTCAGAAGAGAAAGATCAAGATACTCCATAGAAATTCTATCCCCCACCCACCTCGGGAATTGAACCGCAATTTTCTGTGTGCGACGGTTTTCTGTCTTTGACGAGTAACTCTGAGGCGAGACGTGCTGAGAAAAAGATATTGCTTCTCTCAATCCGCGAATGGAGACACCGGCCGAAAATCTTCCCAGGAGTCAAATTTGTAGATTTTCAATTGATGCCATTTTCTTCAAGTATAACATGTCTCCTATTATTTCATACTGATAAACTGTTCAAAATAGACCTATAAATTAGATGTGTCTATGTCCATAAAGTTTTGATCTGAGAAGCAATATATTTTGTCACCACACCTCTCTGTAACCTGGCCGAAAAGCCTGAAACTGCAAAGTAGGCAGTTTTGCAGGAGAATAAAAAGAAAGGTGTTTGCGGACTGCACCTCTTTTATTTTCGTTTTTTCCCCCAACTATCAAAGAATAATTTTGATACTTGACACCTACTGAATTTATACCAAAATGTCAATATTTCACACAGACACACACACACACACAAACACACACACACACACACACACATACACGCACACACACACACA